GCAGGGTGTGACGGCAGAGCGAATTTACATCGTTCAGCAGTGATAAGATCTACAAGAAATTGTTGGTGTAATGGCTAGTTGAGTAATAAGAATATTGTTCATCTTGCTGTGTTGGATTTCTTTTATCCTGTTTTGAAAACCCACCTTTGTCGATTGCCCAACATCCACAATGAAGATGTGAGAAGTGATAGTTGTAATGCTCTGTTATATAGTGGCTACGTAAAACGCAACTACTGGAATTTTGAGATGGGTACCTTCCATAGTAGCATTTCAACTATGTTGATCCTCAATTTTCACAAATATTTTCCACAGTTTGAGTATTTTATATATTTTTTTTTGTTGAAACAGAACCCACTGACATAAACTCATTCACAGGAAAAAGGTATATGATAAAAATAAGTGAACATCATCATTGTCATGACTTATGAAAAAAAAAACAATAGGAATATAAAATGGTAATTTTATGCTACCTGTTTGACATAGGCGAAATTGTTGAACAAAATATTTTGATAAGTGATTACAGAGTTGCCTTGGCTGCTTCGTCAATTAGTTCGAATTTTTTTGAATGGGTCTACAGTGGTTTGGTGGTCACAATGACACATTTTTTTCACTGGCCCACACTGAATTCCTTTGGTTGAAAGGAAATTTCCAAGTAGCTCACATATACCGAAGTATTTGGGTTGTTTCCTGTATTAGTTATGGTTTATCAGTTTTAACTCCAATATGGCTCAATTGATGATACAAACAAGATTATTAGAAGAACTAAAATAATAGTTGCTCGTGAGTAAATATAATAAAAAGATAAGTCGTAATCTCATTCATTCATTTATTGTCCCCACATTATTTTTAAAGTAGTACAAACAAGCAATATGGAAGGTCATGAATTCGTCGTTTTTGAAAACTGTTCAACAAGTATTCTGTATATCAACAGATTCTCAGAAGCTTGAAAGAATTGAAGGAAATATCAAGAGTCTTAACAAAACTACAATAATCTGAATGAAAAGGTACTGAAATTGAAATTATATTCGATGAAAATCATGTACTGCCATTGAAATTTCTGAAAAAATCAATAGAAATCGAGCACTCATCTACGTAGTTTTTCCAGCAATAGATAATATTGATTCAATGAAAGGCTTTCGTGATGTCTGTATACAACAGGAATAATTGGATGGGGAGGGGTAACTGATACTCATCTAAAAAGTCTGAATATCGTGCTGAATATATACTCAAAATAATGTTTCGAAAAATAACTACTTACCCTAGTGATAACTTATATAAAGAATCTGGTAATCTCGATGCGAGACAACTCTATTGCTTGGGTATTTTAAAACATATTAAAAAAGGTTCCATAACTTTACAGCCTATGAACCATTGTTTGTAGGTCAATAATTTTCCAGAATCGTGGTAATCTCCATTTTTATAGAGTGGCAGAATGATTGACAGATTCTGAATTTCAGGAAAAATCCCATTTTGAAAGAAGATATTCATTGTAACACAGATCAAAACATGTCTGTTTATATCGAGGAGAGAAACAAACATACATACTCCTAAACATTGGGAAAACAGAACAATTATCGTTAAATAGTGTGATAACAATGTCATTTATGAAATTTGTTTCGTTGGTGAAGTCAATATTGGAAAACAATGGTTGAAGTTACTGAAAATCACGTATTTCTGCTTTTTTTCTCAACAAATATGCCTTGATGATATTGGATCTGTTTCATTTTTGGAATCGCACGCTATATGTTATACTCGAGTCCACCGTACTCCCTTAAGCTCACTCTTCAAGCGTAACAAGTAAAAAAACAAAATCGAGGAGACCGTTGAAACATACCAAAATGTGAAACGATGTAAATTTCGTATCCAAACCCGCTACTAATCCGCCGCCGGTGTGTAAACTGACGAAAATAATATAATATAATGGGAATAACATCCAACAATTCGATGAAAACAATTAAAGAAACGATCCCGAGGAGATAAGATTCATACAGTTGTTGTTAATTACGAAAAGCTTTTAAAATGGTCGTCAGAAGTTATGCGAACTAACCTTCCCGGCATTTTCAGGATGTAATATATAGGGTTTTCAGAGATGGTTGGAATGATAATGACGATATCGTTTGTAGGAATCCTTATCGGAGGACAGATGATGTTTCTTTCCAAAAGTGTCTATTAAAATCGATCCATGAAATTATTGAGATTGGGACATGGACGTAGACTTAAGACTTTGCTTTAGCTCAGATCTGAAATTTCGGAAAATTCTTGATAACTCCTATACAGGGTGTAACATAAGTTTGAGTATCCAAGTGACGTATTTCTCAGACAGTTTGACAAAAAAAATCTAAGTAAGCTTGTGTCCGGAAATGAGTTGTTTCGGAGACACAGGGTGTTGAAATTGAATTTTTCAGTTTTTGAAAATAACTTTTGCAAAAGATAAGTTATTTGCACGAAATTTGATACCCGGGGTTTCTTGACGTGGAAAATTATAATTTCGCAGTGAAGTTTATGTAACATCCAGAAGGCGCCAAGTTTCAAATTGCCCTAACTTTTTTGATAGTGAACTTTTAGTACTTTTCATGAAGAAACCTAATTCCACACCTATTCCAAGTAAACTGGAGGTGATTGTTTTCGAGATATTTACAATTTTCTTCATCCATGCATATTACTTAGCTCCTAGGCCGCTAAGTGAAGTTGCTGAGAAAATTACAAANAATTTGTTATACTGGATCTTTTTGACATAAATTCATGTTGTTGCGGAAAAATGATATTACGAACTGAGGAATATACGCGATTATAAACGACAATTTCGAGAAGTTTAGCAATGTTCGATAGGACTAAAATAGTGTATCATCCTGAAACGTATGAAATTCTACTTCAAAAAAAGCATACATCAAATGTGGAGGCTCCCTTACGAAATAACTATGTGCCTGAATCCCATTATAAGGTACGCCATTGGGTCGATTCCAAGCCAGGTAGTTATTTTTTTCAGTTTAGTTCTCCTCAATTAGGTGTTTTGGTCCCAGCTGTTGTAACCCATCATAAATCATAGCTTAATCGTTGTTTGAGCACTAATCAAATGGTTTTATTTGTTGCGTGCTACTGTAGTCAAAATATGTTGTCGAATTAGAGATTCAGATTTGTCATGCTTTAAGCTACGTACCAGGAAGCTATGCTTTCTTATTGAAAATAAATCCTGGTATATTTCTTGATTAGAGTGAGAGGAAAAGATATAATAAATCAAGCAGAACATTTTCGTAGTTTAGTTTAGTCCAAAAATGTTTCCAAATCCACATCTTTTTTGAAAACCCATTCAATGATCTACACCTGATAAGTACAACTAATGAAATTGAAAAACTAAAAGAGCATCTCGAAAATCAATTATCTCTATTTGAAGTGATGGCTACGATAGATTAAAAACTTGGCAGCCACATCGATGGTGTCAATGATAATAAATTATTATTTAAATTAGAGACATATGGAGTCAGGGGTGTTTCACTTCAATGAATTTCAAGTTTTTTACAGAATAGAACTCAGTATGTGAGCATAAAACAAAAATGTAATAATGGGATGATAACAAAAAATTCAGATAAAATCAAACTCGATATGGGAGTGCCGCAAGGATCAATTTTGGGTTCTACCCTTTTCATTCTCTACGTTAATGATATAGAGAATCAATCAATCAATCAATCAATTTATTTCATGAAAGGCAATGTTAACATTGGAAATTTACGAAGAATAAAGAAATTACAAGAAATAAACAAAAACCCTACAAATGATAAGTCGGTGATCTTCTTCATAGACTCTAATCCAATTTCGTAAGCTCTGTGGCAGTTAATTTGCTCATTTCCAACAATTCCAGAAGCTATCGATATTAACTGCGGAGTATTTGGAAAAGGATCATGGAGTTTAAACCAATCAAATAACAGCTGGGTATCTCGAATTCCGAGATTCTTACCTAATTTAAGCTTAAATGACTGGATTAATAGTGTGTATCGCCTCTGTTTGGAAAATGATGAAACAGCAGAGCACATACTTTGTGCCTGCCCCGCTGGGGACCGAATCTGATTCTTAGAGCTCCCCAGAGCTGTACTCTTATCATCTAACCTGAAAGACCACTCACCATACAAACTAATCGGCTTCGTTAAGAAGCTGGGTTTATTTCGTCGAATGTGAATAGGTGTAAGTCACAATAAAGCCTCGTGGGTTGCGGTGGAGGGATGAATTGACCCACTCACTTTGGACCTAACCTAACTATGGAGCTGAATCACACGTGATAATCATGACTATCCAACTCTGAAGTTAGACCTCCTGCCAAGACCACAAAACACGTCAATACACACTTTATTGAAAAATAAATGACCCATCTGATAATCGAGCGAAGGTCCTAATGTAATGAAACCATCTCTGCAACAGATAAAAGACCCATTAACTACTGTTTTCCATTTTGCAGATGGCGAGTACCAATGTCAATCTAATTTAATTAATGTTGAACTAGCCGTGGCCGATGGAGATACAATAAAATAATGGGAATGGAAGTGACCGGAAAAGTGGCCATTATACGAGGTGATCGCCTTTATTTAGCTGCTGATAGTGCTAATGCTTCCGCCATCAGTCAGCTGGCTTTAACGAGGGTTACTGATGTGTCGATATAAGCCGTCCTTGCTGCCAGTCACTCGATGAGACTATTTAGATAAATACGGATACCGGGTCTTCTCTAATTGATTAAGACGGCGTAGACTGGTGGGCAAAACAGGATGAGTTCCACTAGAGAGGAAGCAGGAACATATCCTCAATATATTACTAGTTTCCTAATTACTACTGTTCAACTACGAAACGTGAATACATTTCTGACAATAATGTAGCATCAAACGATGGAGATAAAGAAAATAAGAATGAAAATTCAACAGATGTGGTATATGTATTGAAAAAAAAGGGAGGAGGGCTGTGAAAATGTAAAATGCAATATATGCAACAAAAATAACGTATGTTGATTGGTCTTTTATTCATTCATTCCTTCTTTGCCTTTGTCTTCTTGGCAGGAAGGGGCCTCTGTGACCCAAGTATACTGCGCTTGCAGCCTTGCTAAGTTCTGTACGGTACTTATCAGCTTTCAGAAGACCCTTCAACTTGTAGAGGGATCGCCTGGGACCAGATTTCATTGTCCTCTTGACAGTGCTTTGTTTAGGTTTGTGCTGTTTACTGGCTTTTTTGTAAACATCTGTAAAACCATGCTTGTCAGCTTCATCAAATATGCCTGAAGATTTTTTGTAGATGATTCCATTATATCTATAGAAGCTGAGATTTGTCAACTTATTGGGTTCCGTACTGAATGGTTTGGAAATGTTCCTTTTCTTCAATAGAAAGGCGTTATTGTTTCGGATAATTCCCCAAACTAAATGTGACGACATTTTGGCTCGCTTAACCTTACTTAATGAGTGAGTAAGAATGCTAAGTAATATAGAACATATAGTGAAACAGTTGACTTTTGAATATTTTCCCACATTATCCATAATGTCCGGGATCAACAAACACGATTAGACTAGTAGTGTCAACGAACGACTTCAGGTTTTCCTCACGGAGGCGAATCCAAAGGTATCAGATCAGGTAATCCAGCCAGACCCAAGCTACTGGATCCCGTCTGCTGATCCAATGCATGGGAAGACATTGATGTAAATCATCCTTTCGCAAAGATATTTGTCTGGATCTCTCCACATTGCAAAAAAATTGTATTTCCGTGTACATTCTCATTGAGTCTTGAAGTAATGAGATGAATCTGTAATTACTGGAGTCAGTTCCTATTGTATCGGCAGATAATCTTTATAACCATATCTCACCATATTGCATCACAATGTTTGAAGACTATGGTAGAAAATTCTCAGTACCATTCCTGAGGATCCCTGAAAGCTATGAGAGAAAATTATTAGTGGGTGGCTAATGAACGCTTAAGACAATCAGCTCAATTATTTTAGAGGGGGTAATTATTCGGGAATTGAGTTTTTTCTGTTATTGATTGTAGTCGATATTACTGAATGAAAGAAAATGAAGTAAATGTTTTGAAACAAATATAGAAATAACGAAGTAAANATACAATGAAGATTGAAATATAAAAATTTCTTTGCTGCCTCATTCAATTCTGATCAACCAATAACTGTATATATATTCGTTGGATAGAAATAGATAATGGAAAATATGAAGCTATTTTCATTCACTGGACTGAAGACAAATCCATTGCAGCAAGGAATGTTTGGAAACTCAGAATTCATAGATTCTAAAACACTAACTTCTAATAATATCAGTGAATTACGTGTGTCGATGTTTTTGAATAACTGCCTTACTTTGAACTCCTAAGTGACAGTCGTTTATCAGTCATGCTCTTACATTTACATTTCATTATTATGTATAACTGTTCTTACTTTTGCAGTCAGTAAACTGAAAATCTATTATGATAACTCGGATTATCCCGATCCTGTGCTATTCATTACCAAATAATCAATTCTGACCTAAGCCTACCTCTTTCAACTATTTCTATAGATTTTTGACGTGAACCAAAACACTACAGAACTTTTTTTATAACAATCCATATAACTATTTTGTATTTCATTTCGTAAAAGATGAATTGTGGTATCAGTATAATATTCCCAACTTTTCCGAGTTTGTGTCAAATGGTAATGTTATCGTTATCGATTCGGATCAACCGAATGATTGGTATTAAGTTAGGGCCTCTATTGAGCAACCCTCAGAAGCTTTCCAATGACTTGGACAATGAGAGATAGGCAGGACTTTTACTTGCAAACATGAGATACTCAACACGATCAGAAATGAGGAATGAAAGTATCTCCTTCCACCCATTCAATAGATATCTTCACTGTTCTTGCGGAAAGTGCTGTGGTGGAAGCAATCTGAGAATATTTCTCCAGTTAGTGAAAATTAGTCCTGTAGTCAGGTAGAAAAAACTACTTTTCGTTCGTATTTTCTTTTTAACTCAGGAACATGTCACAAATTCTGATATATGAAGAGCTTGCAAATTGACTCTGTGAATCTCATTTTTTTATCGACGATATGTACACATCATTGTTTACTCTTTTGTGATTCATCAAGATTTGACAAATGATTTTGATTCAGAGATCAAAACGATATTGGAAAAGGTACTTTTCGATTATATATTCTATCTCAAACTTTGGCCCAATGGTTAAGAACCAAGCTCACCAATTTCTGTTCTTGTCAGATTTCATAACAGCAAAAAGTATCATTGATTTGTGGTTCAACAAATGATGAATACGATTCAGTCGAATCAACTGGGCGCTATTTTTATAGTATTTTCTACAACGAGCTGCCGCATCCTTCAAATGACAATTCCCAGGAGCCAAAACCTTAACGAGGTAAGGATTAACGAGGTATTATCTTCCATCCTGAGATTCCTTATACGGGACCGGATCCATTGAATTAATATTTATTTGTGCACCAGCACAATTAATTTGTTGCTCCGTTTGCAGAAAAGCACAGACAAACTGACAGAAATGCAAAAAATCGTCATTTCGGATTCTATCACGATAATGAAGACTTCCAATAATAGTTTATCTCAAATATCTTCTATATGCAGTCACTTTAATCAAATGTATCGATTTCTCTATAGTTCAGAAATCCGTACTAGGGATTGTACGATTGTTCCTAGTTATACATATCTGAAACTAACCATTTTTTATCAGTTTTCATTTTTGTGAGTATTGAATCTAACCTGAAATTTGAACTTGACAACACTGTTCACCGCCCCCGCATCTTGAAAGTCCATGTACTCAGCATAGCAGGGTGTGACGGCAGAGCGAATTTACATCGTTCAGCAGTGATAAGATCTACAAGAAATTGTTGGTGTAATGGCTAGTTGAGTAATAAGAATATTGTTCATCTTGCTGTGTTGGATTTCTTTTATCCTGTTTTGAAAACCCACCTTTGTCGATTGCCCAACATCCACAATGAAGATGTGAGAAGTGATAGTTGTAATGCTCTGTTATATAGTGGCTACGTAAAACGCAACTACTGGAATTTTAAGATGGGTACCTTCCATAGTAGCATTTCAACTATGTTGATCCTCAATTTTCACAAATATTTTCCACAGTTTGAGTATTTTATATATTTTTTGTTTGTTCAAACAGAACCCACTGACATAAACTCATTCACAGGAAAAAGGTATATGATAAAAATAAGTGAACATCATCATTGTCATGACTTATGAAAAAAAAAACAATAGAAATATANTTACAATTTTTTAATTTTCTCATGCCTGTTGTTGCTTTTTACACGCTTTATATTAGCTTCACCTATATGTATGTATGTACGTATGTATGTATGTTTGCTGGTTTGCTCAAGCTCCGTATCTATATTGACAGTATTATCGGCATTATCGCTTGATATATTTGCGGGCAGATGGCGCTGTAGATAACTATCAATTATTGCTTGATCTGTTTGCGAGCAGATGGCGCTGTACGTAACTATCAATTATTGTTTGAGCTATTCGCGGGCAGATGCCGCTATACGTAATCTACTTGATAGGTTGTTCAAAAGAAATTCAACATAAAAACATATTTTGTACCACAGATGAAATAGTCAAATATTTACAATTACCCGTGATTCAGTACAGAAAAAAGTTTTGAACGAAACGGAAGATTCATTTCAAAATATAATTCGATTATTTGAAAGCAAACCAGAATATGGATTTCAACAATGAAAACTTTATCGTAAATCGTACACCTAAAAAATTCAGATATTTCAAAAAATCGAAAAATTAGAATTAAGGTGCTTGACATACATATCAAATCAAAAGATTGAAAAATGAAATTATTTACTGATAAAATATTTTTAGTCCATTGATATTTTGAATGAAACTTCAAATCAAAACATAAAGACTGAATTGATTTTTGAAATTACCTGCAGCACCACATCATCTGATGATCTTGATCTGCCAGTGTCCTCTTTTCCATAGAATAACTTGTAGGGTGTCTCCAGAGGCTCTAAGACATCGCCAGAACACTTCGTGACACGACTATCGTCAAACTTAAACCAGTCCGTTTCGTCTTTGACCAAGGCGTAAAAATTCAACGCCAGAACCACAGTAAACAATGACTGCATGAAGATTATAATATTGGTCTGCTAGATTGAAGTGTTCATCTATAATGCCTCAACTATAATTGTTTTCTCATAATAGTCAGTTGGTTTTGCGCATAAACAATTTTTATTTTATTTTCCTTTATTTAAATTTTTCATGTGTTGTGGGCGTACATATATTCAAAAAAAAGAATGTCCCATTTCTTGTGAAGATTTTGCTCTTTATTT